ATGCTGCTTGCTCACAAAACCCAGATAAAAAGACATAGTCACTGAACTATTTTTTGCACAAAACAATGGATCAAACGCATCATGAAAGTGTTAATTTTTGACCCATTGATTTTACCATTGAACACGATTAATTTTTACCATTGTGTGAAGTACATCTCATATCTCAATATTTTGATCGGTAACGTATGGTGAAAAAAATCATATATAGGTATAAGGTACTTTCTGAATAATAATATTATTTTTTATGGAAAATGCATAGATTAACTATGGAAATAATTCATGCTTGGTTCAATTTATATTTTTTCAGACAGTTTGTCTTCATAAAATTAAATAAAATTGAAATAAATCCAGTAATGAAGTGCTGCAAATAATTTCAATAAAAGTTCAGATTTTTGACATTTTCAATTTTAAGTGTCATAGTTCAACTATACTGCAGTCATTCTGTTGTCATGCATGCTTTAGACTAGACTGGCAATTCATATAACTGCGTGACTATTACTATAACTAGTGTCATTTTATCTTGCATTACTAGACTTTGACTGTGTCTTAGGTACAGTTGAACTCTGTTTCACACTTAGCCCAGTCAGCTGATACATGCGAAATGAATAGGAATTCATAATCGGCTATACAAAGTTAAGAAAACCAGTCATAATATAAACAAAATTATGGTGATGTGTGCAAGAAAACAAAGTCGGTGCTATATTTAGCTACGCTATTTATTGACTTTGTCAAATCTAATTACTAAATATTTAATCAAATTTTTAGCTCTGCTGTCATCGAAGATTTGTTACCAACAAAATGTATTCGATGATACATTACTTTGCAATGGAATTGAATTGATTTTTCTGATTTTGTTTCAGCAAACATTTTCACTTTGGGTTCCAGCAGATTCAGATTTCATTTTATTCCATATCATCGTGAATGTAGTTTTCAGCGAAAATGAATTTGTTAAATAAAGTATTCTACAATACAGGGTATAATTATACTATACTGTACTGTACTGTACTGTAAAAGCATTATTTTTTCACGATATTTTTACTTCACTGACAGTGAAATTAAAAAATAATTTCTTGATTTACTATCAAATTTGCAGTTTAAAATTCAGAGAATATAAAACATTAGAACGGTGAAATTAAAATTGTGTGAATATAAAATGCTTTTACAGTAATTCAATGAGGATCAATACCCCTAAATTGACTTCATCACTTAGTTTGTATTTCAAGAGTAACTGCATTTTGTTTGTGTTCTCAGCGTATTGTACAGCAGGTAGTAGGCGGGATGGGTGATGTTGGAAGGAATGCTCGGGTCACATCAAGGCAATCCGTAAGTCTGATTATGTATTCATTAAAAGTCTTTACTTGTAACATTTCTATTTGTAGAGCACTGTAAATACTTAATTTTCACTGGTCAGGATGTTTGTGCTATGATGATTCCAATGATTTTTGTGATGCGGCTATGTGTCTTTAGGACACCGGTGGATTTTTGCTGCAATAACATTACAAGATAGTCACTGACTCTCGGAAATTTGTCTCCCATGAAATTAAAGATGTTTACAGTATTTTATGCATTAAGCCAGATAAAAACAAAATACAGTAAAGCCTATGTTAGTGATCACCTGTTCATACAAAGACCTGCCTATTAATTACAACTTTTAGTACATTGTAAGTCCCAAGGCATAACACATAGCATGTGTATAGTGCCTATAGTGACCACTTTTAGTAATAAAGTCCCAAGGCATAACATATTATCAACCTGTGTATAAAGACCACCTGCATATAGTGACCACTTTTAGTAAGTCTCAAGGCATAACATATAACCTGTGTATAAAGACCGCCTGCATATAGTGACTACTTTTAGTAAGTCCCAAGGCATAACATATTACTAACCTGTGTATAAAGACCATCTGCATATAGTGACAACTTTTAGTAAGTCCCAAGGCATAACATATTACTAACCTGTGTATAAAGACCACCTGCATATAGTGACAACTTTTAGTAAGTCACAAGGCATAACATATTATCAACCTGTGTATAAAGACCACCTGCATATAGTGACTACTTTTAGTAAGTCACAAGGCATAACATATTACTAACCTGTGTATAAAGACCATCTGCGTATAGTGACCACTTTTAGTAAGTCCCAAGGGCATAACATATTACTAACCTGTGTATAAAGACCATCTGCATATAGTGACAACTTTTAGTAAGTCCCAAGGCATAACATATTATCAACCTGTGTATAAAGACCACCTGCATATAGTGACTACTTTTAGTAAGTCACAAGGCATAACATATTACTAACCTGTGTATAAAGACCATTTGCGTATAGTGACCACTTTTAGTAAGTCTCAAGGCATAACATATTACTAACCTGTGTATAAAGACCATTTGCGTATAGTGACCACTTTTAGTAAGTCTCAAGGCATAACATATTACTAACCTGTGTATAAAGACCACCTGCATATAGTGACCACTTTTAGTAAGTCACAAGGCATAACATATTACTAACCTGTGTATAAAGACCACCTGCATATAGTGACTACTTTTAGTAAGTCCCAAGGGCATAACATATTATCAACCTGTGTATAAAGACAACCTGCCTATAGTGACCACTTTTAGCAAGTCTCAAGGCATAACATATTACCAACCTGTGTATAAAGACCATCTGCGTATAGTGACTACTTTTAGTAAGTCCCAAGGGCATAACATATTATCAACCTGTGTATAAAGACCACCTGCCTATAGTGACTACTTTTAGTAAGTCCCAAGGGCATAACATATTATCAACCTGTGTATAAAGACCACCTGCATATAGTGACAACTTTTAGTAAGTCCCAAGGCATAACATATTCTCAACCTGTGTATAAAAACCACCTGCGTATAGTGACCACTTTTAGTAAGTCCCAAAGCATGACATATTCCTAACCTGTGTATAAAGACCACCTGCGTATAGTGACTACTTTTAGTAAGTCCCAAGGGCATAACATATTATCAACCTGTGTATAAAGACCACCTGCCTATAGTGACTACTTTTAGTAAGTCCCAAGGGCATAACATATTATTAACCTGTGTATAAAGACCACCTGCATATAGTGACCACTTTTAGTAAGTCCCAAAGCATGACATATTCCTAACCTGTGTATAAAGACCACCTGCGTATAGTGACTACTTTTAGTAAGTCCCAAGGCATAACATATTCTCAACCTGTGTATAAAGACCACCTGTGTATAGTGACCACTTTTAGTAAGTCCCAAGGCATAACATATTATCAACCTGTGTATAAAGACCACCTGCATATAGTGACAACTTTTAGTAAGTCCCAAGGCATAACATATTACTAACCTGTGTAATAAAGACAACCTGCGTATAGTGACCACTTTTAGTAAGTCACAAGGCATAACATATAACCTGTGTATAAAGACCACCTGCATATAGTGACAACTTTTAGTAAGTCTCAAGGCATAACATATTACTAACCTGTGTATAAAGACAACCTGTCTATAGTGACAACTTTTAGTAAGTCTCAAGGCATAACATATTATCAACCTGTGTATAAAAACCACCTGCGTATAGTGACCACTTTTAGTAAGTCTCAAGGCATAACATATAACCTGTGTATAAAGACCAATTGTCTTATGTGACCACCTTATGCATTATTTATGCTGATTTGCCTTTGCTTACTATAGATAACAAAATAATAATTAGCATTTTATTTGTAAAAACATTTTTAATTTCCTCAAGTTGCAATGGTAGCACCTCCTCCATATAAATCTCCATACAAAGACCACCTGTCTATAAAGACCATTTTAATGAAGTTCCTTTGATGATGACTATAGACATCATGATTTTGCATGTTGATACTGTATCTACACCTATCCTACCCTATTACCAAGTCAAGGTTCTTCACATACATATTCATATTCATGTGATTGCAGGCTGATGGCTCTGCAGTGGATGTGCACATTAATCTAGGTCAGATTGCCGCGCCACAACTACTTAGTGAATCTCAACAACGAGTTGTACATGTACGAAGAATGATTCAACAAGCAAATGAAATTATTGACAGACTTGAGGTAGGTATATTGCTCAGCACAGGATTTACCATATCTTTGTTCAAACATGACCTGAGAAAGAACTAAGAGATGTTTATTTAAAAAAAATGTTCAGTGTGATGTATGTCCTGTGTTAATTTTGTTGTATTTGTCATATGTATGCCTGCCTGCTATCTCCAGTCCACATGTTCTCATGTTAATAGATTGCCAATATTAAATCTGTGTATGTTCACTATCCCGCCAAAGTATTCTTGGGCATACTTGCCCTATGATTGTAGCTGCATTGTCATTAGACCAACTACGATACCTTGAATTTTCATTTTGACTGCTTTGCTTGCCATTCAGTACACTCCAAGCAGACGTGGCTCTGGTGACAGACCGTCAAGTACTAGAGGGAACGGTACAACAGAAAGCATGGATACTACCACTTCGGATACCACAGCCTCCTCGGGTACCGCTTCTACGACTGCCACTACCACTACAAGCAGTGGAAGTACAAGTCCAAGATCATTAACTAGTTCTTTGCTTTCACAAATAACATTAGGCTTGAAGTAAGTATAATAAACTTGGTACAGAGCTTAGTAATCTTGCATGTTATTGTAGTGATTAAGCCTGGTAAAATCTATATTCAGATTTAAATATTTATTCTAGTGCAAATCATACAAATTGTGATTCCAAAAAAAATATTGGTCTGGCCAATAAAGGTTTTCTGTGTATCCATGCAACCATGGTAACAATATAATTTGAATTCACAAACATCCTTACCGGTAAATTGTGTGTGATCCACTGTTACGATAAATCTCCAAAAAGCTACAAAATGCCAGTTCATATCTTTATATACTGCCAAGTATTACATCTGTCTTGTTTTCAAATACTGACCGTTGGTTGCTATGGTATCCATATATTGTTGAGACCTGTATAACACTTGATTTGTCATTTTGTAGTCATCCCAACGTTGGAACAATGGCTGATTTGGTAGATGAAATGGCTACATTACACAACCGCTTACGGCCACATTTAGACAGATTTCAACAGCTTATGAGACAAGACCCTAGTTTTACTGGGAATGTAAGTCTTTATCAATTACACTTTATGTAATGATTTGATCCTATTATGAAAAAACATCTTTGGTTGCATTGAAAACACACACATTCCAGACATAGGAAATTTATTATCAAATTGAGGCATAAACAGGTTTTTCTAGGAAAAAATGCAAGAGGGAGCACTGCAATTTAGCGACGCCACAAAGTGGGGGAGATAAGATTCTCCCTAGCAGGGTGTGGAGATTTTGATAGTTCTAAGTTAAAATGGAGCATTCTATGGCTTCCTTGGGGCCAAAATTACTATCAGACAAGTCACAGTTGTAGACTGTTACCACATGTGATTCCTGGTCAATCAGAATTTTATGGTTGCCAGAGGATCTGCTCCACAGGGTAAGGGGGCGCATGGCCATGACATGAGGGCGCTGCACTCCTGTTCCCTTGTTTAAAAAAATCCCTGATAAAGTCATTGCTATTATATTCATTGTTATATATCCTTTGGACCTACTGGTACATGTACAATGTATAAAGTGACTTAAGACGGCAAAAACTGACACTTGATAGAAACTGCTTACAACGACTGTGCTTGAACTTAATTTTAAACCATACATGGACCTTTTTATTATAAAACCTGTGGCTTTTCACATGCTTTTTTTTTTGCCAAGGAGATTTCACTTGTTATTCTGTCTTTAATAAAGATATCAATTTAGTAGATGAAAGATGATAACTTTAATTAATTTTCACAGGAGAATGCTGTACGTTCTGCCCAGAGAGATTGTAATTTAGTGACTGAAATATTGCACTATATCAGCCATGCTTACCACAGCATGTCAGACTGTATGGTAGATTTCATGACACCGTCACCACGGATACTAAGAGCGCCGCCAACACCTGCGTTTCAGATGTTACAGCAGAGTGCACGTGGAGCTATGTTGGTGAGTTTCACTGTTGAATAATCTGGTGCTGCTCCGAGTCTAAGCTGCTTTAAGTCAATTCAATGCAATGCAATGCAATGCAGCTTACTAGATTGTGCCTGATTGGCTACTCAACCCTAACACCTAACAGTTTGACCAATCAGAGAACAGCTTGTACATTGTATGTTCTTGTGTGTTTTTATTTTTCAACATATCAAATTTTGCCTTGTATAAATGCTTCTACTTAACTGGCTACTTTCAAAGTTTCTTTCACTTTTATTCTACGGATTATGTTGCTTGCAATCTCTCTGATATTTAGCAATTTTCATAATGGATTGTCTTTATTTAAAAAATGTATACATATATTTTTTTCTTAAATATCAAAAAAATGGAAGAAACTATCTATTACTGATGCCTTTATGAATATTAATCTGCCCACCAGAGGGTTACTACTGAATTATTCACCTTTTATCAGCCATAGATGTATATTATAATATAGGCCTTCATTATTTGCTGGGTTTATCTTCACATTTTTTCATTGGCAGTTAAATATGTTAAATTAAAGCAGAAGGATCATCACCTGCGCACCTCCCAATCAACGATAACAACACGCGCTAAAATGCAAAGACTCATGGGTAGACGCTTGTTTATAAACAATGACACGCAATAGCCATCTGACGCATGCATGCGAAGGTGACGACTACCTCCCTTTAAAATCCAGTGAATATTTAACTTCAACAATAAAATGTATTATTTTCTTCCCAGTCCAGTGAGTTTTTAAACGCAGTATCTCTGCAACATCAAATGTGCTAAAATTAAACCCAATGAACACAGTATTTTGTTTCATGATTCAGTTTAGTATGGCCGACTAGTGGCCATTTTGATTTCTTTGTTCATACTTGTTGTATTTTGATGTTATGTGAGATGAAAACTTGATCCTCATTATCTAATTAGTTTTTATTCTAATTAAGACCAATTTGCATCCTAATTAATTTTTTTCATGTTTCATACTAATTAATCTAGCACTACTATTCATTTCTTCTTTGTGTGTGTTTTTTTAACAGCCCAATGGGAATGTAACCACGACAGATGCAACTTTAGGAGCAAGAATGTCAACTGGGATGGCATCGGCAGCAGCACCAGTATCAACATCATCAGTAACATCAACTAGCAGTTCGCAGACCACACCGTCACCACCAACATGTAAAGTCAATATCTTATTCTCACACGGATTTGCTCTCCTGCTTGTATAATTTCCACTCTGTCTAATGTCACATATAGGAAACAAAATTGTGGCCTTTTCAACTGTCCTTCGCAGTCTGATTTTGTCCAGATGTAGTAGTTCCCAGAAATTACTTGTCCCAGTGGACAGGTGAGTTTCACAATTACCAGTAAAAAAAAATCGTCTTTGGCCTAATTTCTTGTTTAGATTCACACATGATTAGACAAGTTGTATGTCCGAAACATTTAAACTAGCGAATCTACTGATGTTGAAAGTTTATGTATATTTGATAAAGCTTGACTGCAAAGACTTTTCTGGCATATATAGTCTGACCTGAGTCATTTTATTACGGGGAGAAATTTATATCCTAGAAGAGTCCAAGTAGGAGGGCTTTATCAGATTTAAAATCTACTGCCCCAAGCCATTTATAGGATATATGTTTTGTGGAAATGTTCATACTTTTGTAGGCCTTCACTGAGTCCTGTAAACTATTTCATATGAAATTCTTGGAGAGGGGATCATGTCCTTATTTGCAAGTGAAATATGGTATAAAAGGTTTAAAAAATTTGTTATGCAATGCATGCATACAGAACATGTGTGCTTGTCTGAATTTGTGGTCATTGCTCTCTTACAATTTGCATACTGAAATAAAGACAGGCAGGCTGTATACGCATAATCTGCATAATAATCAACATATGAATATTCATGATCTAACAAACAATCATAGAATGAACTAGCACACAAGCCAATGACAGAATCAAGTTCCGTATAGCATATTGAGCAGCATGTCTGTCAGATCGACTGCTGTATGAGTTCCACGTTTGAACCCAACCCTTGTGGTTTCTTAGCAACTTTGTCAGTATTGCATCATTGTATAAAAGTCCTAGTTGAGAACTAAGAGATTTGATTTGAGAAAAGGACATTTAGTGCATATAGTCCTGCAATAGAACGTACTGATTGGTTGAAAAGCACTGGGTATGTTTTATTTGTTGTACAAGCCTTCCCATAAACAGAGGTCAACCGATGAATACGTCTTACTTTGAGGGACTATCTCCCCTAAATGACAGCGGCAAACATCAAAAATATTGAGTCAACTTGTCAAACACTTGACAGCATAATCTATTGTACTACTCTATACATACATGCTTAGTTAGAATGCGTGTTATCCATTAATCCACTAAGATTAACTGGCTTTTTTTGAGAAGTATGGAGTAAGTATACTAATTAGAACAAATAGAAATATATTTATTAGCCGTGTTCTCATTGGCGAATTAATCTTTGATGTGTATAGTGATCAATGGTGCCGTGCTCATATCAGTCTGCATATGCCGATATTTCGTTCTCATTCGTCAAGTGCTAAAATAACATACTCGACTAAAAAATGGTAATTTTCTCCTGACAGAATGTAGATATTTTCATAAATTTTTTTTTATCATTTTGGAAGTTGACTAATGCCATTACTAACTACTAACTAATACTAACAGTCAGTCGACTTTTTATGGAAGTCAACATGAAATTATTACTTCAAAAAAAACATAACTTCAACAATGAAAGTAGAATTCAGCTGAATTCATAAATGGCTTATATTTCCATCACAGTTTGGACACAGACTAGTCACAAACATAGATCTCAACCAAATTTTGGATCACCACAATTTCTTCATAAGGACATGGATGAGACCTCGTCTGGCATTTAAAGATTCTAATTATCACAACATGTTTGGATTTCCCGCAGTTATTAACATTGGTCAGCAACGAATGGGTAATCCTAGTGGTACTGGATCAACAACTGTCGGTCCACTTCCTCCTGGTTCTAATACCACTGGCAGTTCTATAATGATGATACCTATTGCCCATAGCATACAGGGTAAGAATACAAACCTGGTTCAAGTTCAACAGATACAAACCCACAGTTTTGGTCAGGGTCAGGTAAATTGTATGAGGGCGCTCGCTCACTGCCAAAGTATGACCGACAACTGATCATACTTTGTACTTTTCATGACCTCAATGCTCATACATCCTGGTATTTCCCATGACCTCTAAAGGTCACACATCCTGGTATTTTCCATGACCTCTTAAGGTCACACATCCTGGTACTTTATGCACAATCACTGCAGTAAATTCTATTGTTTTTTTCCAAATCAATATCTTTTGAGATGTTAGATTATGAATATGTACAGGCAGTACTCAAAATGATAAATTATTAGTGAAAAACACATTCCAGAAACATCCACAACCAGTGTTTTTGTCATAGTCTAATTTTGATTTGTTTTCTCATAGGTGAAATTATGTCTGTGAAATGAACAGAAGTGTTGTAGGTACCTGTTTTGTGTGACAGTTTTCCAGTGACAAAAGTGAAGAACAACATTTCAAGTTGTTAATTTAATAATTACTGTTTTTAATTCCATAGTGGTGAATCTCAGTAACAGGACAGTCTCCAACACTTCGACAAGTAGCACAACAACATCCACAAGACCATCTGCTACTAACCTGGCATCCGGTACTTTTGGACCAGGTGCGTTTTTGAGACCTGGGGCATATTATGCCACTCTTGGTGGTAGCGGTGGCACTGGTGGTGGCAACATCAGCAGCAGCACTGGTGGTGGTGGTGGCAACGGCGGTGGAACTGGTGACGGTGGACCTGACATTGACGATGAAGGGGGTTTATCCGATGAATTTCTGCAGTCTTTAGTGGAATCTATTGAGAGCACTGGTGCAACTGTTCACAGTGTAACGCCTGGTAGGAGGCGTACTCCTGCAAATACAACTACGTCCTCCTCCACATCCTCTACAACAGGTAGGGTTATATTCAATGATTGGATTGAATAAATCATTGGATGAGAAAATAGCGAATTTAAAACCCAGTGAATAATAAATGCCTTTACAGTAGTACAGCATGTAGTATTTCACTGAATAATATTATAAGCTGTTTTTGCTTTTCACAACATAGCGAAAATGTTTTGTGCAGTTTTCAGGGTTTTCAGCCTTGACACTTTGTGAATGTATTTTCAGCATTTGTGTTTCTTTGTATTTGCAGTTCAATCGAGTCCAACTAGCACGTCATCGTCGACTGCGACAACTGTTCAGTCAACATCAAGCACCACATCGTCTACATCCTCACCTGGGTCACCGTTTTCGGGAAGACGTCAGATTCCTGTGGCCAATTTCCTTGGACTGAATATCCATCGTGATCCATTCTTACCTTGCTCATCACGTCACTTCTTCTTACGTGAACCACCAGCACAGCCTGCGACTACAGGCTCTGCAACTTCTGCAAGACAGACACAACCAGCAACAACCAGTGGCCCAACATCAACTCCAACTCCACCAGCACCATCCTCGGTATACACCTCCAAATACTATATTTCTTTAATATAAAACATCCTAATATTGAACACAGATTTTCACCTTTTTACGTCACTTTTGCTCATTCTTTTTTAAAGTACATTTTGTCCTCAAATTGAACAATACGCTACTGAATGCACCTCAAGGCCCCTCAACCTACTGGTATTTCTACAACCTTGTATTATAATCTGCTCCAAATAAGAAAAAAATTTACAGGAAAATATCATTGGGTTTCATTTTGCCAGAGATTCAAAAATTGAATTTTGACGACGTAGCTGCTACTGTCTTTATTCTGTTAAAGAATTTGTGAGCAACAAAGAATATTGAATTTGATTATTTAAAAAACATGAAATCTAAGCAAGCGATGATTTCTGTAAATAACATACGCAGTTGGACATTACTTCATCGTAGAATTTTTAACAAAGTGCTACAGTAGCCCAAGCACAGTCAGTATCGTATTCACAATATACCCAGGCTGACATAGAATTTGATTTGATGCCAATTTCCTGGTAGAAATGTGTTACCTCTCTATGGAGCCTAGGTGGTGAAGTCTAAAAGGTCAACTTTATTACCTTGCCCGTACCATCAAAGATGGAAGGGAAAACAAATTTGTCCGGCGTTGTCGTTGTTGTTGTCGTCGTCGTCGTCGTCGTTAATAATTGTTATTGTGTGCATAATAACTTTACTAATTCTATTCCAAACTTTATCAAACTTTGTCACCTTATTCATCAGTATAAAGTCTTCCACCACTGTAATTTAGCAAGTCGGTGAAATTTTGTAAATGTTATAACAGTACTCATAACATTATATTTTACTTTACCAGCTTCAAGGAGAAGATCAGCTGGCTGATATGATTGGTAATTTAGTTGGCTCTCTCATAAATCAGCATAATCCCTATTTACAACCACATCCACCGAATGAAGTTAATGATAACAATAACACTACTTCTGCCACAACTGCATCTCGTACTACTGCATCTCCTACTACAAGTACTAATACTACAACTACAACTGCTGCTTCGTCGGCAGCATTGGATACTTCTAGTACCGGTGATGAAGTTGTTGACGGTATGTTAAACCGCTTCAGAAACTCAATTGGGGGTAAGTATTTCTCAATAAGGCCAAAAAAAACAACAACTTATGTTGCCCTCAAGTCGGGATTTTGAAAAATTGGGTTGGTCGGTCGGATTTTTTTTTTTTTTTTTTTTCAAACTCGTGAAAACTAAGGGTATCGTAAATAACCGATGTATATGGGGAAAACAAACGCGACCCAATATTTCATATTTTTCGGTCGGCCGCTGAAGGCAACAAAACAATTTTGTTTTTGGCCTAATGGGAACGTCATTATTATTATAGTGTAATATCTCATTTGACTCGTTCTCAAATTTCAGACATATTTATTGCTCTGATTATTTCCGCATTAATGCTGTGTCAAATTAAATCTTGTTTGTTTGCAGCTAACGTTTCAGACAATCCGTTTGTCCAGTTGTTTAGTACCAGCGGTGCTGCTTCTCGTGCAGGCAGTAGCAGACACGGTGTTCAAACATCGCCATCAGATCATGCGTTTTTCACTGTAGCGCGTGGTCTAGAAGAACAGATGCGTCAAGCATCGGAAGGTCGTGAACAATTTGAAAGCATAGAGGACTTCATGAATAGTATGGGTTCGGCAGTTACTACAAGTCGTCCTGGTAGGTTGTAGTTTACATATGTGTCTGTATGGATAGACTGCAGCCTCTTCACTGCCTCATCCAGGACATGGGGATTGCATGCTAATTTCTTGGGATTGCACCCACTATTTTTAGCTCTGCTGTCGACTTTGTCGAGTGGAGCTTATCATATGAGTGGTTGTCCGTCGGCGTCCGTCGTCGTCCGTGTCGATGTTTTACTTTTTCGACTTCTTCTTGAAAACTACAAGCCTGAGTGTTTTGATACTTGGTGTATATGTACCTTGGGTAGACCTCTCTCAGATTTGTTCATTTCATGATGATATCTTCAATTCTCTAATTTTGGTGAATATTTTTGTCATTTTTGATAAAAAGTGATATTTTCGACTTCTTGTTAAAAAACGCAAGTCCGATTGCTTTGATATTACATATACATGTATAGGTACTACATGTAAATCTCTCCCAGATTTGTTCATTTTGTAATGATATCTTCAATTCTCTAATTTTGGTGAATATTTTTGTCATTTTTGGTAAAAAGTGATATTTTTGACTTCTTGTTAAGAAGCGCAAGTCAAATTGCTTTGATATTACATATATAGGTACTACATGTAAATCTCTCCCAGATTTGCGTAATGATATCTTCAATTCTCTAATTTTGGTGAATATTTTTGTCATTTTTGGTAGAAAGTGATATTTTTGACTTCTTGTTAAAAAGCGCAAGTCAAATTGCTTTGATATTACATATATAGGTACTACATGTGGACCTCTCTCAGATTTGTTCATTTTGTAATGATATCTTTAATTCTCTAATTTTGGTGAATATTTTTGTCATTTTTGGTAAAAAGTGATATTTTCAACTTCCTGTTAAAAACCGCAAGTCCAATTGCTTTGATATTACATATATAGGTACTACATGTGGACCTCTCTCAGATTTGTTCATTTTGTAATGATATCTTCAATTCTCTAATTTTGGTGAACATTTTTGGTAAAAAAATGATATTTTCGATTTCATGTTAAAAACCGCAAGTCCAATTGCTTTGATATTACATATATAGGTACTACATGTGGACCACTCTCAAATTTGTTTATTTCATGATATTTTAAATTCTCTAATTTTGATGAATATTTTTATCATTTTTGGTAAAAAGTGATATTTTCTTCTTGTTAAACACCACAATCATTTATGGTAAAAAATGATATTTTTGAATTCTTGTTGAAAACAGCAAGTCCCATTGCTTTGATACTATACATATTGTTCATTTTCTAATGATGTCTTCACTTCTTTAATTGAAATGTGCATTGCTAACAGCGGAGCTATCTCAGCCAACAGGCTGCTTGTTTGATATATGCATGATTTCTGCACATTTTTTTTTCTGGGAAGTAATTTAGAGATTTTTTTTTGACTGTTTCTGTGATTTTTGACCTATTTCATCTGTAAATGCTGCATTTTCAACCCAGGAATCCTAAATAAACTTTTTTGTAGTCTGATCTACAAACAGGAAATGACATCATGGGAATTCCCCAACATTGCCTGTCAATGTAATTACAAATGCATCTTTTGCAATAAAATGAAACAATAATAAGGGAACTCCTAAAATGTATTGATAATTTTAAAACATTGAGAACATATGGCTGGCGTGCTTTCTCAGTCATGTCGCCTCAATTGTGGAACAATTTACCATCTGAATATGGCTTCAGTCTTCACAAGACATATTTAAAAACAACATTAAAACTTTAAACAGTGATTGCAATGATTTTGTTGAACTGAATCAAAATTGAACTATTGTCAGTCTGAAAATAAATGTCTGATTATTGAACAATATTCTGAAGATGATTTATCATGAATGAGTTGTTTCGCTATGCATAATTTGCGAATTAATTAAACAAAATGGCACATTGACCAGAAGTACACTGTTTTGTCTTTGAATATATAGATTTATTTCATACATTGCTATATATAGTCATGCTATCTATAGAGCTATGCTCAGTACAAATATGTATAATAATAATATTTACCAGAAACTTAAATATTTTGACGCTGTCTTTGCAAGTATGACTGATTCATGAAAATGTATTTCCAATTAAATCAGTATATTGTATATTTATTAATTATTTAATTTATTTATTTATTGATATCTACTAATAATTATTTCATTTATTGAACTTCTTCAAGCTTGTACAAAATGCATTTCATTTACGACAGTATCTTCTAATTTGCATTTTTTTCATGCAGGTTTTTTCAATGATGTGTTCCAGTTCATTGGCAGAAGTTTTTCATTTCATGATGTAGTTACTCTTTATGTGGGTCAAGCTGATGTTCTGAACAGAGTGCGTCCGAACTTAACACAATTTGTAAACGAGCATATACTGGATGGAAATGAAGCCACTGAGGATAATATACAGGTAAAGAAACCGATCTTTGATAAGAGTGAATTTTCTGACTTGTTTTAATTATTTGCACTTGCAAATTTTTATTTTGGCTTAGTAGGGAGGAGTGAATGTTGAATGAAGAAATTACATTTGTTATGCTCGTGTATTGATTAACCATAGCTTTATATACCAGTAGTTCCCGGCCCTGAAAATCATTCTTGTACAAGTTATTGCCCCATGTTGGCTGGTTCCCATCTCAAGTGTCATGGCCACAAGAGGCCGCTAACTAGTAATGGTTCCGGCATTCTGATTGGTCTGTCACTATCTTGTTGCTTGTTCTATTTCTCTTGTTTACCTGACGTCAGCACTCGCGTTCGTGGCCCTAGAGCAGGGCTTTCCTTTAACTTTCGAAAGTTGGGCGAATATAAAACAGTTAGAAATGACAGAAACATCTCAAATATGTAAGTCTAAGCAGGCATAATGTATGGGCATGGCGTAATGAAGACTTGTTTACAGAAAATGAATATTAGAATGTTTTCAAATGATGTCGCTCAGTCACGTAACTTTGGGTCGGGATCCCGGCCCAATGGAACAATATGGCGATTACTAGTTACCTGCATCCTACTTGCCATTCGTAAGGGACGCTGAGAACCAGCAAAGCCCCCATGAAACAAATCCAATTCACAATCTGTATTTTCTTTCTATTTCAGAGTTCTGTTAATAAATTGGTAGAACAATTACAAATTGAAATGGCTGATGAGATGGTAAGACTGCATCATTTGTCAATGTCAAGCTTAATATTTTAGAGTAGTCAATTTCATTCACAATTTTCATAAAGGGGTAGTTTGAACACATGAATGTATACAGTCTGCTGAATTTCTAGTTCACAAAATTGTCCAATAATATATACAATGACACGCAGTGTATAATTGTTTTCACCCTTTGTGATATATATTCTATATTCTTGCACTAAAGTAGACAAGTTTCAAATTCGTCTGTGTACGGGGGTTGACTTCGCCATGTAAACATCTGAACACTGGGAACCAGGGAAACCAGCAAATAAATTTGAGCTAGAACTCGACCTTCTATTCTCGCACGGAAACTGACTATAACTTGAAACTTTTAATATCTATTGACAAGCAGCATTCATTTGAATATGTATTGTTTTCAACAAAATGGCCGCCAATCAGCCATTTTGAATTAGATCTGTCAAAACAAAATGTACATCAAGATCACATGGTTTTACCATGTGAATTGTTAACGCATCATTTCATGCAATTTTTTTTTCTAAATTCATAGAATCGCTTGTCAACTGTGGATGATATTGACTTGCTAGCAACCAATGGAGAATTCCTAAGGGTTGTCTTAACTAGATTAATCAAACTAGCTACAGATTCATCAGGTGTGTCTGGTATTGCATTTATTCACATATAACAACACCCAAGGACATTGCTCGATTCGTACAATTCTGCTGAAACAGACTAACATGGCCATCTCCACAAACCTGTGTGTGATCGTAATAAATTCATTTTTATGTCAGAATATGCGTGAATTTTGGAAATATTAAATGATTCACTGGATTTGGTCTTTGTTCATAATTACTGCTTGCAACAATGTTCTGTAAGAGTTTACAAATGTAATTTTACTACTCAATCTATTTCAAAGCTGAAACAATGTCCTACATTTGGACGCACTGAAATCATTGAAATGTTATCATTTAATACATATTTCTTATTATTCATACAATTCAAACCATCAGAAAGTTCAAATAGTTCAAAAAATTCAATGATCTTAGAGTAGATCTTAGATCTTAGACTGTTATGCCTCAACAACCATAGTACCAATAATGTACCAAAAAAAACATGGTACTTTGGCACCCTGGCTGTCATCTTGTGAATAAGTAAACCATTGCGAAATATACAACACACAGATCCTTTGGAGTTTTATCATAGAAATTTGTTTTGTATTTTTTAAAACTGACTCATCGTGTGCTGTCTTTGGAAAAATAATGTTGCTGACGTAATTGTTTCTATCTGTCTGTTTTCAGTTTCTAATGAACAGTTTTCAAATACATTTTTGAATATGACTACACGATATATACATGAATGGTTTGCTTTAAATATATCCTGTTTAGAAAACGGTAGACAAGGATTAGAAGATATGTTACAACATATAACTGTAAGTAGACTGGGGATGTTGAAGTACTGTGAAATGACTAATTTTCACTGGGTTTCAATTTCACTGATTTACCATTTCAGGCATATTCAGTGGGTTTTAAATTCACGGTTTTATCATTTAGATAATGTGTTCTATGCCAAATTTTGCATATTCACTGGGTTTTAATTTAGCACATTTTACTGTCAGCGAAATAAGCAAAACTGAAACCCAGTGATTAATTAACCCCTTTACAGTACTATTGCAGTACAATATTATAGTTCTCTTGCTCCATGGACAATGTGAATCTCGTGTTGATTGACGCTGATACACATCAGGAATACATTTAAGCATAGACTCCAGAGAATGGGATGAAACTATATAAAGTAACTTTGCCAAACTGAAGACATTTGATGAATAAGACATTAACCCCTTGTATGCCATAATTTGTCAAAACCAAATTGTTTGTACAACGTATTCACATTTTAATGTACATGTATTGCTTAATTTTGGGAGACCAGCTGTAAATAATTTCTCATTGACTTACATTACATGATCAACATTTTTGGGGAAAACATAGAAACAGTTGATCTTGGCTTTGAAAAAGTGCTAATAACAATAAAATTTTATAAAACAATTTAAGTTCTGATCTATAATACTGTATGTACATCATTTGATTTTCACTGCTAGAAATTTTTGCTTTTTCAAGATTTTATGGCATTGGGGAACATTTTTCCCACCAGTTCTCTCATTTCATCACAAATTCATAAAATACTCCCATTTATAGTCTGCACTTTCCTTCTGAAGAATAGAACAAAAATAGACAAATATTTTGAGTAAGAACTGAAAATTGACTCAAATTTTGTCTTTTGGCTCCAAAATTAGGGTTCAAATTTAGGCAAGAAAGTCTGGTGGTGAAAAGGTTAAAAACAAACATTTCAAAAAATCACTTTAAAATTTTCATTGACTTGCGAAATTTGCGGAAATTCTTTCTTGCAACATAAAAGCTGTTTACAGTATACTATGAATGGCTTGAGGGAAAATAAGTGAAATTTTGTCATAAATATCTTTAATACTGGGGTTCAGGAGACTTTTATGACATTTAACCACTCTAAGTTTAATCGCTTTTTCATATTGCAAAAATGGTAGCAGTTTACGTTAGTAACAACACTAAAGTATATGATAACCTGACTGTCTTTTTTTTTTTAGAGGTCAATAAGCTCTGGTATGAATACTAGGGTAATTGCTTGGATAACTTCTATGGTGTCTCAGAATGTGCAGTCATTCACAGAAGAACTTCAGGTCAGACCAGAGGAAGTCACATGCTATATCAAGAGGAAAGCCCCTCCAGTTGCAGGTAAACAATATTGTTTTCACACATTGCAGCTGAAACTATGTCTTTACAAGTATACCGACCTAGTTTTCTAAACTATTTACATTTTGATACTGTAAAATACTTTATTTTCGCTTGGAATTTATTTTCGCTGAACGAGTGATTTAGTGAAAATCCAATCCAATGAATATACATTTTTTCTTATATTTTACATTCAAGTCCCCAAAAATCAGTGAAAATAAATTCCATACAAAACACCCAAAAAGTTTTTTCAGCGAAAATTAATTCCAGCTGAAATAAAGTATTTTACAGTATCTCAAGTGCCTTAGTGCAAAAATGTACCAATCATCGGATGCATGTATTGATTGTTGCACTTGATTCATGATCACTAGATCCAAGTTCAAATTATACGTGGGGTTGATCTCAAAATAAAAAAAAGGGAGTCAGTTCCTTCTTTGAATGAGTATGTCAGATATTCAATAAGGAGATCAAATTCTATGGCAAAGAATTATTGCACTAATGAATGCGACTTTGGGGAAATCTTGATTAAGCTCTGGTTGTGTATTAACTCTGCCATAATGCTATTATGATATGAAGATGATCACGGTGATCTTATAGTACCAAACATGGTATAGGTGGCAAATGCACTAAATATCTACCTTCAGACTTGCACTTAAGTGTCAGGAACTGTCACGCGATACAAAGAATACATCTGTAATATTTACTCTACTAGATCCTAAATTGCATTCCAGAAACTACACTTTTCAAAATAAATATGTGCTTCTGTTTTTCTTGTTGTGAATTATATCACTAATAATTAGTCTGATTCTTTTTAAATAACAGGCCAAATGTTAGAAACACAAGTAAATATTTTGTGTTATTTACATTCCATTGATTGTGATTCTTGTTCTTTTTGCCTAGCCTGACATATAGGCGTGAGTGGCGCCCTCGCCTGACAGAATAGTGTATGTCTCATCGGCAAGATCAGTATTGCAAATTTGCAAAGTTCACGCCTTCGTGCAATGAGTTTCAATGAATATTCATTTTGGTTGTCCTGGTAACACCTTATCACACGTTATGTCAACAAATAAACTCTGTCGTGTATGGTTACTCTTTGATGGTTGTCATTATCTGCTGTTCCTGATATTTGATTGGTGCCAACAAAACATTGTCGGGAAAGAGAAAAACTACATCATTCTCTCAGGCGTGCGTTGGGTTTGGAGCACCACAGAGGGCGCAACTCACACGAACTTATCAGGCTAACATGCTATGTGTCATTTCTTATTAGTAGAAACCAGTGCATGTGAGGAAACAGTTTCCATGGCAATATCTGATGATGTGAGCAGTTCAACTGATAAGATGGAGACAGACCAGATTTCATCAGATACAACAAAGGTACCATTGATCAGGATTTCATTAATTATTTTTAATTGTTATATCCTAGTTACCGAACCATCCTGATTATTCCTTTAGATTATATAATTTCAAATACCGTATTTGCTTCTTCAGACTTACATGTGCTTAAATTTCAATGACAGATGGCCAAAATTAGACGTATTTTAATAATTTTGAGATGTGTTTCTAATGTAGTAAATACGGTACTCTTTATTTGTACTTCATGCTTCTAGTACCTTCTGCACACAAGAGTTTTTAGTCCCCGTTCGGACGCAGTCCGAAAACGGGGACTTATGTTTTGACCTCTGTGTGTGCGTGCGTGCGTCTGTGCGTGCGTCCGGACCTGTATCTTAGAAATGCCTGGACCAAT